TTAATGGATAATCGGGTTTTTCCTCCAAGACAAAAGAAGTTGCACAATCTTAGCAACATTGCAATGCTAGTGGTTCCTTTTAGCAAAATGTGATCCAATTCTAGTCTGCTATTTTCAGGGATCAGAGCACGAAATATAAAGTTTTCAGATAGTGTCGTCTCTCCGAAGATGACACCCACATTGTTATCTATACCGAGAAACCAGCCTGTATAACTCGCAATTTATAGAGAATATTCTGCAAATATAGGACAAAAATCAAGGAAGTTTTCTTGAAATTACGTTAACTAGTTTTCCATGGAAAAAAGAAAGTATGACATGCAGGAAATCTGCGACGTCGCGAACGGAGATACTTGGTTTCGTTCTTTGGTCATCATTATAAAACAAATGGAAATAAAACGCATATTTTCTTCATTGGCGAAGTTTTAATAGCGCTTCGCTCTGCACGTATCACTGCGCGCAAGACAGGCCGGAGCGCCTTTAAATTTATAGGTATGCAACACGGACATCCGCAGAACACGAATAGTTGCATCCAGGCGCTACATTCAACATCCGTCGTTTTTCGTCCTGTTGGAAAGACTTAAATTGGACGCATTGAACCAGAATCAACCGATCCTCTGCAGTTGTTACCATCTCTCATACAATCTCTCTTTAGCTTTATAAATTTACGAGGAAATGCATTGAACGCATGGACTATTGCCAGTTAAAACAGTCCAAATTTTGACTTTCCATGCAGGGTGGCAGGTTTTCATGAATTGCAATTTTCCATAAATTTTCAGGGTTTTTGAACGTAAATTTCTTTAGCTTTTAAAAAAATTTTCAGCATTATTTCTCATGTCAATGCTTTCCGATTTTTTTTTTGTTTTTTTATTTGAACGAAGTTTCTGGAATAGAAAATCATCTACTGCTTCGGCCAGCAGGAAAAAAATGTAAGGTTCTCCAACGAAAGTCCCTGACTTATCAATGTTTTCCGCCATGATTTCTCATGAAAACGCCATAAACATGGTTTTCTTTTGAAGGAAGTTTCTTGAAAATGATTAAACGTTTAGGTCTGCAGGAAAAATGTCAAGGTTCGAATGCAAAATTCACCGATTTTTCAAGGTTCGATCCCTGACTTTTCAAGAACTTGCCACCCCGTTCAGGTTTCCTCCAATTTCCTCGTTCCCCCCGCAAAAGAATGTAACTAACATTTGATACATTTGTTTATATGCATATTGCCAAATTTTCCCTCCAAAATTGCATTTCTATCTACGAGGAGCATCTTGGGCGATTTGAACTGCAAATTTTACTGCTTTTTCTTCCGATTGCATGCAATAATAAATAAAAAATTTGGACAAGAATTCTACAAGCACATTCTTGTAAAAAATTGAATCGTTTGAGTCAATTTTGCAACCATAAAATAGAGTTACGTTCCTTCGTTCGGGTAACGACAAATTAAGGCGTTGGGTGCAGAAAATACATTTCTTGGTTGAGGTATTACAGAATATCCAGTGCTAATTTTTATTTTAGAGAGGAAACCGTTTGGTAAATTCTCTGAAATTTTACGTTTCCAATACTGTGAAATCATAAAAAATAGCCAGTAAAAGTTACAACAAATTACATACATTTGCTTCAACTATAGAGCATGAAACATTAGCAGAAATTTTATGACATTGTAACTGTGAAATGCTCTTTCTGCACCCAGCGTTACTATTGTCACCACCCTCAGCGTCACTGAAAAAAAAATCGGTTATGTGAACCGAACTTTCGGTGTTCCATAACATCACAAATATTCTGTTTGTCAAACTGAACTTTCGGTTCGTGAAAGCGGACGTTCGACATACATGACCAAACTTTGTTTGTTAGTTCACTTTACTGCAATGTACAGTCTTATAATGTGTCTATTTACAGTTTTGTCTAATATTAAGTTATTAGGCAATCGTCTTGTAACCAGCTAACTGTATTGTTTTCAAGATAACTTCTGTTTTCTCATACACTCATCCTCTTCATCCCTCACTCATTTTCATTAATGGTTACCTTTTACTAAGAAATTTATGTTATATACTCTTAAATTAATAGTGCTAAATATGTATTACATGGATGTGCTCAATAAATAATTAAAAAAAAAAAAAAAAAAAAAAAAAAAAACTTTACTGCACATGTTCGGTTGCACGAATCGACAGTTTGGTTTTGATAAACCGAAAATTCAGTTTGACAAACCGAATTAGTCGGGATGATATGGAACAGCACACTTCGGTGCATACGACCGAACATTTTTTCAGTGTACGACTTTGCGTCTTTTGTTGAAGCAGAGAAAAAACACTATCTACCTTTCAGAGCCCTCGCTCCAGGAACAAATCCTCCCGCACGGAAAAACCTCTCGAATTCCAAAAACGCACCTCTAAAACGATTTGAAAACGGGGTTGGGGGGTGTATGGGGATGACTCGGTAGGGTGCAACGGCACCTCTTGGAATTGGGTCAAACGCGGCGGGATTTAGGTTAGACCCGTCGATGGAACGGACACGTGTCTCGCGAAGGTGCGCGTGGCGTGGCTCCGAGCGCGAAGCCGGTCTTGGACTGAGGGATTCAGGGATTCGGATTCGGGGAGCCGGAGCTTGGGTTCCCGACCCCGCGCCCGGCTGCGCGCGCAGCCCCGACGCACGGTGGTTCGAGTCAATACGCCAGGTCGGACAAAATTCGGAAACTTTAAACGCTCATAACTCCGTTTAAACACAAATTTGAGGTACTAAAAGTGGCTCCATTGGTTTCCTCGTGAAATTTTCCTTTGAAAGCACCCCTTAAAATTAAGAATGTGACGAATTGAACATGAAAAATTGCAGTTTTAGTCAAAAATTTAATGTCCGACCTCTCTCATTGACTCGGTCCGCTGTGCGACGCACCCCGGCCAACCACCTCAGGTCAGGGGGTGGCTCCGGCCGCCGCCTGCATCCCGCAGGAATGCACCCCGCCGAGCAGTGCGCTACGGTCTAGGAGACGTCGCCCGATTCCGGGAGATGACCCGAGCTGCGGTGATTGTCATAAGGGGATAATCAGTGGGTTATTTTGGGATTTTCGACGATTATGCATTGAGAAAAAAAGGTGAATTAAGGGTGAAATTGGGAGGGAAAGAAGGGAAATGGGGATATAAGGGAGGAAGAGGAGGTGCAGACGAGAAAAATGGGAGGATAAGGGATGGAGAAACAGAGAGGGGGAAAAAGAGGATTAGTAGTGGTAGAATGAGTTTATTTTTACGAGAAGGGATATGAGGGGGTGGGTTTTTTTTGGTTAATCGTCAGTGATGCACGGAGAAAAAAGAAGGGAGAAAAATGATGTAATAGGGAGAGGGAAGGAGAAAAAGAGGGAAAGAGGGAGAGGAGAGGAGAAAAAATGGGAGAGTAATGGAGGAAGAGGAGGGAGAGAGAAGAAAAAGGAGAGGATACGGGATGGTATTATGGTATTTGGTATTTTTCATGTAAACGCGCAGTTTCGATATCATGACAGGTTTTTTGTACAAAATTGAGGCTTGAACTGATAAAGCACATTTACAGCATAGAATTGACTTTTTGCACCAATAAAAATTGATAAAACTAATCCAAGTTATGGCAAATATGTTTCGCAACCAAGTGGCACCGATATAATTGTCTGGGGACAGGAATATTTCAAACTTTCAATTTTTTTGACGCACCCGAATGTGCACGCTCAAGCAAATTAAGCGGCATTATCGGTTGCAATTTTTAAAACATAATGTAGAAATGAGACCAATCATGAGTTATGAATATTTCTCTCGTGAAATCATAATTTATCATATCGGTCGCAGATGTTATTCACGTTTTCTCTCTATAGTTTGAAACGACAGGTTCTTGTTGGTTTTCTCTCGCTATATTTATAACTAACCGCTAGGGTAATTATTGACCGATCATCGTGGAATAAATTATTTCTACAAAAATAGACATCTGGTAGTCAGTCAAGTGAGCTAAGAAAACAGCGATAAGCCATTGTTTATCTTAATGGTGTCACAACAAAAATTTCCAACTGATCTTCTGTCTCCCTTCGAAACTTGAATGGCGTTAACGTCATGGTGGAATGTTTTATCTTGATTTCTTGACTAGCTCCTCGCAATGGAAGAAGCGCCTTCAATCTTAGTCGACGAAACAGTGTATACATGGCAGGTTCTACACTCATTATTGTCATCCGAATCCAGTGTTGTGTACGAGGGATTTGAGGATTGAGGGACCCCTTTCCAAACGGATCACATAAGTGACTACTATTTCTGGCTTATTTTAGAAACAACGTATGTGCCATTACTTCCCCCTATTTAGATAGGTGCTTTAACGAATGAGCCCGAGATAGTAGTTCCTTTTTGCAAAATGAAGACCAGATGGAGCTCTCGCATGCCACAGGGATCGGAGTTAAGTACTCTCTCTTAGAAAAATTTCGCGAGAAACACGATGGTCCAACTTATTTTCTCTGAAGGGGGGGGGGGGCAAATGGAATTTAGTCCACCCGATTGCGCAAGTATTTCACAAATTACTGCAGAAAGCTTTAGCCGAATTAAGAAAAAGAGAAAGAGAAGAAGAAGAGGAGGTGGAGAAGGAAGAATAATTGAAAAACGAAAAGCTATACGTAAAAGGGGTCCCCGAAATCACTGGCGAAACAAAGTCCGCTAGTTTTCCCTCGTTTATGTTTAAAACATTAATTATGGTCTTGTAGCTCCTCCCTCCATAACATTTCCCCATCACCTGCAGTAATTCTGTGCTAATTTTGATCTTACGTGATTCAACCAAAAAACACGCAACTCTGTGGACGGCCCGTTAATTTGAAATTTGCCGGGCTTTTTTGAATTCTGCGTAAGTCGCGCGCGCGGGGTTTTAGTAGTTTTGTCTTTTGCCGTAGCGCTAGTGTTGTACATCATACGTGTTTGTTTTGTTCCGTAGTGAAGAGGGGAGGGGAGAGTGTTTTTTCGGTTCTGCCGGTGTCGTGTTATCACCTTATCAGTTATCAGTAATCAGTTAATCTCTTTCGGATTTGGGGCTTCTGCGGCGCATTTATCAGTCGCAGGTTCCGTGTGAATCCTTTTATTCTCAGATTTTCAACGCGCAGGACGCTCGGTTTGGTGGTGTCTCGATCTCTCGAAAAGTCCGAAGTTGTGTGGTGCTCACTATTTTCTGCCATGAATTGTAAAGTTTCTCTTCTTCTCCTCGTAGGTTTACTTTGCTATGGTAAGAATAGGTACTCAACATTTTAAAATTAGATAAGTGCACATCATTAATTTATTTTTAGCTACCCAATGGTTGTTGCATACATCATAATCGTTGCATAATTTCAGCACATGTTCTTTGCTTAAGCACTCCCATAAACAAATGAGCTAAGTACGTACCAGTATTTTCCAAAACGAGTATCCCGGAAACCGACTAGAACTGGGGAAAGAAAAGAGGAGACAAATGTCACATCCAAAAATTGCACTATTCAACAGATTTACATGCTGACCAATGGGCCAACTGATGATTGATGCATCCAAACTGATGTGACTTTTGTCTCTTCTTTTCTTTCCCCAGTTCTAATTCTGCAAATTTTGAAATTTGAACATCTGTTCACATTATGCGCAACTAACTAATACAACGCCCACACGCACACCAACACCCCCTGACAGATATTTATGTTGAGTTTTAGGTAACGGAGAGGTGTATAAACATACTGCGTGGACGGTGTAAGTCGGCAATCACACAGCTCGGTTTGCGATGTCGCAGACTTCCTGTCATACCTAATTTTTTTTTTCAACGGAAAACTACTCAACAGCAATTCTTTAAAACTGCTGTGATTTTTCTTCTCTGTGCAAAGAAAATTTTGCTTAAACTTCAAGGGATGATGTCAATTTGCTCTCCTTTAAAAAGTTATCATAGAGGCGGAGATTTTCAGACACCGCAAACGAGATTTGTGACTGCGGGCTTACGCCGTCTTGAAACAGCCGCCTCTTCTGAACTTACACTCCAACTTAACAAGTGGAATTCAATCTGATCTAATATAAGAGATGACAACAAGGTTACCTGAATAAACAAAATGCAGTTTTGTTTTGTCCCTTCCTATGGTTCATTTTGTTGATTATTTATCCCTATCGCTTTGTGTCTATCAATGTTGACATCGTACAAATAAGAAATCCAACATCAACTGTACACTTTTGATTTTTTTGCAGTGAAATCAGCAGATAGTGTAGATGAAGCAATACCAGCAGGAGTTTCAAACAAGGAGGAGCTACACTTATTGAAAGATTCAGCAAATAAAGACATTGCAACAAGCACATCTCTTCCTGGAGGGTCTAACGTAGTCAAGCCTGATGAGAAAGGTGATTGGGTGCTCAATTACACATCTTCTGCAACCTGTATTCGATTAGTAGCTGAAATCAAAATTAAAGTCGGCTACATCAGATCAAAAAATGTAAGTTTCTCTCACATGTATTTTCTTTCTTACACTAACTGACAATGCAAACTGCCATCTAACAAAAACCATTTACTAGTTCCATGTAATCCTTGTGTTCCATATGTTCCTTTTATCTAAAGACGTACAATGGTTATAGATTTTATATACATTTTTTCACATATAAATGCACATGGTTATAAAGAAAGGAGGGGGCAAGGAGTCCCTCCTGAATGATAAATAATACTCCCAAGTATAAACTGTAACCATTTGTGGCCCTTCAACATAATCAGACTCTAGGTAGTCCTACAGCTACCCTCCCCTCTGCAGAAAATAATTCCTAGCCACACTTGTGCTAATGAAGTACTTTCTAAATCTAAAAAAAAAAAAAAAAAAAAAAAAAAAAAAAAAAAAAAAAACAGAGAAAAAAAGGAAAGAAAACATAATGGAAATCCAATAAATTTGTAAACTCTGATGATTCGACCGCCTCAATTGTAAATGATGTAACTAGAGGGAAAGCACAATAAAATTTGAGGTAGAGTTTAGAGAATATTGAGCTTTATGAATTTATTGGCCACTAGCACTGTTTCAATGATTGCTTTTGAATAAGAAGGGTGGCCGAGGTTAGGTTTAAGATATTTAAAACAAATCTCAGCTCTTTAAAAACCTTGAAACACTTCTTTACTTATTCATTTAGCACATGTGAAATTGATTTCCTGAAATGCAGTCACCTTTTGTACCTCTTCACTCTTTGATGAGTGTACTGTCTCAAGTTCCCATCACCTCAATGCAGTTCTCGCCTAGGTATTTATCTCTGCAATTGTTTGGTGTGTTTCTTTTTCCATTTGATAAATGGAGTCATGTGACGGATTAAACATCAAATAATTGTTTTCATTGTCATAGTGATAAGAGTTCAATTGACTGCAGACTGAAGCAGCATTGCCAGAATGGTCTAATAATGTAAAGCTCTATGCAACTTGAGCCATTCCATTCCATAGCACCTCTATTCTTTCAATTAGGGAACAAGAGGGAGTCCCCCCCCCCTCCCCTGAAAAGGAGAGGTTTTTAAATCTGAAAAACGGGAAGGCTAATTTGAAAGTTGCATTTTCAAGTTCAAGTGCCGGCATAATTTGGAACCAAGCATGTTTGACTCGCAATTGGACTACATTTTGCAATTAGGAACTACAATTTAGAAACAACGCACTTATACACCAATATTCTTCCTATGCACAGAAGTGTTTTTATGGATGAGCCAGAAATTGTAGTTCCTAATTGCAAAATGTTGTCCAATTAATACTTTCTTTTGACCCAATTGGAAGAGGTAAGAATTTTTTCGTTCAAGTTATTCATCTGTCAATACTTATTTTTCTCTTTTTGTTAAGATTGTATGAGTGAGAACATAAGAAGACCTTCCCTTCAGTTTTTCTGAACCATCCCTCTAGAGACAAAAACACTTTTCTGCAGGTCTAAATTTGCTGTCTTCTTAAATTGACAGCTAGTGTGAATTGTGTGGAAGTTAAGAGCTTAAATTGGAGAGGCTACTGATAAGAACCAAAGATAAAATTGTGCCACGTCATATTGCAAAAAGAGTAAGATGACAAGATTGCAATTTTTTACCTACGTGGAGTAAATGAAAGATAATGCTATTTTTAAAAAAACGATAGAAATAAAAATAGGGAAAAGAGGAAGTAGCAGTAGTACTAATATAAGTTTACTTTTAAAAGAAAAAGAAGAAGTAAAGAAAATGTGACGACAGATTATTGATTAAGAGTCAAACTTGCCTAGAATTTTTTATCAATGAAAGTGTTAGCTTTTTTTTCAAATACCAAAAAAAAAAAAAAAAAA